ATATTTATTTATTTATTTATTGGTGAATAAGTGCACAGTGGTCCATATGTGTGTGTCTTCCAGCTGTGGGACTTGGAGGCCAATAAGAAGATGGCTGACTGCAGCGGTCACCTGAGTTGGGTGCAGCGGGTCCAGTTCTCTCCTGACGGCTCACAGCTGCTCTCCTGCTCTGACGACCAGACTGTCAGGGTAAGACTCACTCGGTGTGATGTGTGATGTGTGTGTGTGTGATGTGCTGTGTCTGCGTTATTAGTGTACCGGCTTTTCTTGCACAGATATTGTCAGTATTGTTCTAATTACCGCTTGTGAAATCACAGCCTGTGAAAAGTTGACTCTTTGCCAGCTGTTAAGTTTCAGCGCAGGAATTATGTTGTTGCTTTTGGTGCAAAGATTCTGTCAAACTTTATTTTGTGTGAATGAAAGGCAGTAAAAACATGTTTTTATCCAAGTAAATGATATTTTGATGCAAGTGAAAGCTGTCAACATTGATGAGCAACATCGCCGACTATGTAAACTAATTTGATGCCGAGGTTTTCTCACCAAAGATTAACTCCTCTGTGTGAATGCAAGTTACAAAGAAGTAATCTAGGACATTCTGTTATACTCAAGCCTGTTTCCTATCCTGTGTTTCTTGTAGTTATGGGAGACTAAGAAGGTGCACACCTCCTCAGCTGTCTGCCTGAAAAGAGACTCTGACGTTCTCTTCAATGATGAAGGAATCACAGTGTCAGCTGCAGACAACTGCAACCGACTGCAGGTGAGCTGGAGGGGAAAATGAAGAGAGACTGACTGAATGAATAGAAGGCGGTGGGCTGGATGAACCTTGTTTTCTTTGAGTTCAAGTGTGTGTGTGTGTGTGTGTGTGTGTGTGTGTGTCAGGTACGTGATGGCAGGACGGGATCAGTGCTGTTCCAGTCGGAGGAGAAGCCGTCCAGGATCCGGTGCACGTGTATGAGCACACAGCCCTCTGCTGTGGCCCTGGGCCAGGACGATGGCACCGTACAGGTAGAAAACACATTCAGACCTACAGTACATACTGTATGTGTCACATGGCAGGAAAAAATAAGTTGAATTAACTTTAATTTTAGACACTTCATTGTAGCGCTGATGCTGAAATGACGACTCGATTCATCAACAGGAAATTGACCAACGTCAATGTAAATCAAAAAAGTATGAGAGCGTGAGTGAGGCTGCGTCTTTTTGTGTGTTCACAGCCCATGTTGAGTCATCAGATCTGACATTAGCACCATCACCCTTTTTATCTGTCCTGTCAGCTGTGCGTCAACTCAAAGCACCTCTTTCATCTCACTCCACTCCTCGCTGTTCTGCCTTCCCTTTTTTCTTTTTTTTTACCTGTGATTTGTATTCTCGACACTCCTCACTCCTGCTCTCTACTTTCATATTTCACCATCTCTGTCATCCACCTTTTTTTTTTTTTTATTCCCTCTTTTGTTTTGTTTATCTCCCTTCCCCCTTTGTTCTGCCTGTCCCCATGCTCTCCTCGCTCCAGCGCTCTTTGTCTCGGTGATAAATTGTTGTTTGCAGGCAGAGAATGAGGTCCTAGTCGGCACTGTGGCAGGTGTGTGTTTCTTCGTCTACGAGTGCATGTTTCTGTTGCATGTTATGCACACATTGCAACTGTAGTGGACGTCCCAGAAAGTTCCCATGCTGTCGAAAAGCTATAACCCCTGAGTTATCCTTGCTGCGGCCAGGCCCGCCTCCTACATCAGAGCGCAACTCCAATTAATTAGAAAGGTCCTGCAGTCATAATGAACACACGGGTTAATAACTTTAATTACAGCTGTCCTCCTGGCCCCAGAGATGTGAGAGGCAAGGATTAGCAGACACGAGGACTTCAAGAAGAACAAATGATTAGTCATCGGAGTTCTTAAAACTAAGAGGGGATGAAAAAGAGCATTGAAGAATAATGAGATACCCGATGCACAGAAAATACACACAAACGTATTTAAAATGTCTTTCTGTGTTAATTAAACGATCTATAATTTGACGGTAATGGTTCCTGTAACCGCTGTCTCCGGCACCATATTAGCATCATTAGCTTCATTTATTTTAGGAAAATCATCCAAAAATCGAATAGTCGTCAAAATTAAACCAACATTGTTGTGTTGCATTTTATAGTTCAATGAATGAACTAATTGTGCAATCAATCAACTTTTGATACTTTATCAGTTACTTCCAGCAGTTTCAGATACAACCTAATTCCCTTTTAATCGTCGTTGAGTCCACGCAGATGTTTTTGTTGTAGTGCCCGTGAGCAGACACCAGAGGGAGCCCCGGTGTTAGCTGCAGGCATCGCTGGTGCCTTTGACCACTGCAGTGATCATTTTCCTTTTCCCTTAAAAAGAGGAGAAATAAGTTACAATTCATCAACTTCAGTGTCAGTCTGACATACCCGACGTGTTATCAGAATATCATGTAAGATGTGCAGGCGAGGACATAAAGTTAATGTGTGATTCTTTATGATTGGAAAAGTGTATTTGTGTGGGTGTGTGTGTGTGTGTGTGTGTTCTGTGCCAGGCAGCAGGGCTCACAGCTAGTCAGGTACTGAGGACAGTCAGCTGCAGGATCCGATGACTGTTGACCTCCTTCGGGGGGTTGATGCTGGCTGTAGGGCTGTACAGGGGCAGCGTGCAGGTATGGTAGGGACAGAGTAATACCTGTTTGTATGTGTATTCCCTCCAGGAATCACCCAGAAATCACACACATGTATAGTGAGTCCACAGTATGTGTGTATTTCATTTTTTCAAAATGCTCCTGATGACTGTAAGAGGAAAGGCACCACAGAGCGGATCTTGTGCGTTCTTACTGTCTCGTCATGCAGCCTCAACACCGACCACCTCATCCCTTCACCGCTTTTATCATTTGTTCTTTGATTTCACATGACTTACGCAACGCTTCCGTAACTTGTTTGCTCCCTTGGTAGAAGTATTTAAAACAACTGTTCCCCCATCTTTCCTCTCTCACATTAGCCTGCTTTTATATTTGTTTTTAACCAAACACCCTTCAGCCATTTTTTTGCTGACTGCACCGTCCCATAAATCCTCGAGCCCAATGTGTAAATCTCGGCCAAAGCGCTCTCTCTCTCTTGGGCTCTGAAACTTGCGTCTCAGTACGTGGAGCTTGACAAACATGGTTGGCGTGCCCCGAGGCTTGTTCTGCTCAGACATTTCAACCCTCTCCTCTGAGATGTAAATATTTTAGTGGCTGGTAAAATCCCAAGCGCTATGGGTCTCTCTGTTATACTCTCAAAACCACAGGTGGACTTATTTCATCTCAGCATTTTCACATGAGTCTGTGCTTTATTCCCTGTTCTTAAATCAATTTAAATGATTGTTTATTGTTGTGACGTATACAAACTTGCTGACTCGGCTGTAGCTGAATTTGAGTATTTGTTTTCACTAGAAAAATCTATCTGGAGGTTAATAAGAAAAATGGAAGGCTTTGATGGAAGTGCCGCAAAAGATTTTATAATTGCAGTTTTAATCTACTCCCATGTTTCACCTCATAATACCTTAATTAGCCTTCTTTGTTATTGATAAGTAGAATACCTTCATTGTCGTCGTAAATATTCAACTGATCCGGAGGCTGCCACAAACCGATAAACATTATCCATGGCTATAGTTTTTAATATGATTCTCCTCCAAGGAAATGTCAGATATTTGTCCTGACGTAATATTTAGTAGAAGTAAACACATTAACAAGACTAAGATTCTTCAGCCCTGCTACTGGCTCTGTGTTGCATTGAGGAACAATGTTGTTTTGAGCTAATGCTAACATGCTCACAATGCAGTGAAGGTATAACTAAAGTTATGATAGTTCATCCTGTACCATTAATGTCCAAAAATCCAATTTCATGACAACCCATCCAACAGCTGTGGAGATGTTTCAGTGTGGACCACCTGAGCCAGAGCCGGCCCCGACCAATTTGGTGCCCGAGGCAAGATTTTTAGCTGGTGCCGCTTGAATCGCAGCCAAAAAACTCACACGGAGAGGCAGAAGGCATATCACACACAATATTTCTCAAAATGATGTTAAAGGTTATTCCTCAAACAGGCAGGCAACCCAGAAAATGGGGCCTATATATATAATAGGCTTCATTTTTATGTTGTGGACTTTTTTTTGTAATATTTAAAAATACTAGTAATAAAATAGTATTTTTAAGGGAAAAAAAAGTTGTACATTTTGAATAAAGTTTTCTCCCCTCATTTGGCGCCCATAGCCTTTTGCCCATACCCCCTATAGAGCCACGCCGCTAGCACGCCTAAACTATTTATTTATTTATTCATTATCAAGGACTTATTGAAGCCTCTGGGTCGTAGTGTGAGCAACCATCCAGTTGACCTTTTAGAGGGTATTCACGAAATCTCTCTCAAACCCGGCTTTGAGGGCTGTCAGACCCCCGGTAGCCCTCCGCGGTCTTGAACGGTCTCGCTCAAAGCTCCCACTTTTTCCACCCGCTGTCTTTTTGATGTGCTTATCACCATCAGGCCAGCAGCAGCAGCAGTTCAGCCCTCCTCCCTCAACATGTGACTTTGTGTCAGGATTGTTTTAGGAAACTTTCCGGGGGAACTTTTCCTCACTGAGTGTATCTTGGCAAACATAACTATCATTTGAGGCTTGCATAAATAGTCTAGACCCAGAGTATGATTTCTTGGTACAGTAGAGCTTTCAGTGACCGGCATTCCCATTTTCTCTACACTCAAGCCAAACTACTGCTGTAGCTCTATGGTTGGCAATATTTCTCTGTCTTTCTGTTTGTCGGTTGGTCAGCCCACCACTTTGATACTGAAATATCTCCACAATATTGGATGGATTAATATGAAGTTTTGTACAGTTAGTTGTGGTCCCCTGATTTCTCCTCTAGTATCACCAGAAAATGTACATTTTCTTTGCGTTTTAGTGAAATATCTTGAAAACTATTTGATGGATTGGCATTCAAATTGTGGCGCACACGTTCATGTTTACCTCAGGATGAATTGCAATAACTTTGGTGTACCTCTGACTTTTTATCAAGCACCATCATCTTTTCATAATGTCAGTTTGTCCAATGCTTTTATTTATAACCCAATGCCTGCAAGCATTAGCGTTAGCACCACTGTGCCTATTAACGCCTCACCAAGCCCGAAAACTCTCCGTCTTCTTGCTGATTATTTGGATACATGTGGTGCTAGTGTTTCTTTCTTCCTTCCAGGTGTTGGAGGTGCCCTCTGGGAAGCTCCTGGCCACCCTGCTGGGACACACCAAGACGGTGCTGCACTGCCTGTTCACCCAGAACGGCCAAACACTTATCACGTCCTCCGAGGACACCACCATAAGGGTAAAGGCTGAACTCCTCTCCTCCCCCTGTTGCTCCCTTCCTCTCTCTCTGCTTTTTGTTTATCTCTGTTGTTCCTCCCATTCATCACCCTCTCGCTCTCATCCTCACCATCTTTTCTTGCCTAATTCATGGCATGATCTTTCATTTCCTGTCATAACCTGCGTCCATTTTTCTTCCCTGCTATTAATTATTTTTCTGCCCCACATCCCCATTCCTCACCTTGAGTAAAACCGCCTACTCTGCAGAATCCCTCACCCTCAGTGTTTCAGGCCGCGGTGGTGCTTCCACTTTCCCCGACCTGTAACACTCTACCAGCTTCTCTGTCTGCCTCTTCACCTCTCCATTCTTCATCCCCCTCTTTTGTCTCCTTTCCTTCCGTTTTTCCCTCTCTTTGCCTTCGGCTGTGCCGCTCTCGATAGCTCTTTATCTCCGTCCCGTGTGCAGCTATCTGTGTTTGTGCGTGAGGATGTGTGTGTATTTCGGGCCGTTATGGTCTGTCAACCCCCACCGTTCATGCTCTGTTGCTCATTTCCCCCTTTCCTCTCATCTCCTCCTCCATCGTTTCTTTTTGCTGACAGACCGTCCACTGCAGCACTTCCATCCGTCTCCGACAACGCAGCACCTTGTTCCGTATTCATGCGGCTGCTGCCTGTGCCATCGCTATTCTCGGACCGTACGCCGCTCATTCAGAAGCTATTCAGAAGCTATTCAGATTCATGCTGTTTGACATGCGCTCGCTCGGAAATGGTAGTGTGTATTTAGATGTTAATGCAGACACGCAGTGAATGTAAAGAGATGAAATGACACTGATGTTGGCTGGTGATGGATTCTGACCTTTGGGCCAATGACAGATTCTATTCAGAGGGAGAAAAGGTGTAACATTGCACACAAGGGCATGATTGATGGGATGATCTGGCTGATTCTGTCTGTCCGGCCCCCCATCTGGGAGCTCAGTTGAACCCTTGTTTTCATAAAACAAGCAGACAGATGTGCGGGTCCATAGTTTTAACTCCACAGATGCTTTAACGAGCACATCTAAGCTGGGACGTGATCAGCAAGACAGAAAATCTAAAAATCGACACAAAGACCATTACAAAATGTTCTGATCTACTATACATACATTCTACAGCACACAAGGCTGCACTGCTAATTTGTGGCAATTTCTTTTTCTTCACTTTTCTTTCCGGGACATTTTTGAGAGGACTGGAAATATTTCTGCCCTTGCTTTTATGTCCTGTCATTGAAATGTTCATGAATAATGTTTTTGTATCTGAAGGAAAATTCTATTATTTCTTAACCTGGATTTTATTCTTTGAATTGTATCCAGTCTGACTTCTGCTCTTTAAGATTTGGGAAACACAAATATGACCCAGCCTGAAATCTGAAACTGGTCACAATTATGAAAAGAACCGGGTTGAAAAATACCAGAAGTTTCCCTCAATAGCCCTGCTGCTGCAAAACCAATATGTCATCCTGTAAAGTTGCTTAAAAAAACAGAACGAATCCTAAAAATATCCGGACTAGACTGCTCCTTAGACAATGCCAAACCAAAATACAATTTATGTTAAGCTGCTAAACCCTTACAGACGGGCATTTTGGTTCTGTTCGGATGCTAAATATTGTGGGTGATTAACCCAAGGAAGTCTGCAGAATTACATACTCGCAGACCGCTGCACAGGCACGTGCTGATATCATTGTCACTTATCAAAAACACTTGTCAAACACTGTAACGGTGGAAATGTATTTCTCTGTTGCCGCCTGTAGGTGTGGCGCTGGCAGTCTGGCGAGTGTAAAGTCCTGCAGGGTCACAAGGAACAGGTCAGATGCTTCTCTCTGCTCTCCACTGACACAAGACTGCTGTCCTGGTCCTTCGATGGTACCGTCAAGGTGAAGCTCACACAGACTCACAATACAGCTAACATCTGCATGAAATCATACAGGAAATAATCTCTCGCTTTCTCTTGCCCACTAAAAGATGTGGGACCTAGAAAGTGGAGAGAAGCTGCAGGACATCGAGGCTCACCGGGGAGCCGTCCTGTCCTGTCACGTCTCGCCAGACGGATGCCTCTTCGCCACCACCTCTGCTGACAAGACTGCTAAGGTTCATCACTTACACACACACACACACATGCTCACGGGATGAGACATATCTGTTTGTGCTGCCAGTAACAACGTGACCTATTACACATCAGCGTCTTCCCCCTCGAACTGCCGTCTGAGCTCATTACTTACGGCACATACACACCGACGCGTGGCTGTGGGTGATATCTGGGACTGCGTTTCTCCAGTAGGGAGGCGAGGGGCCGTAGAGATCAGCGTGCAGCAGATGGCCTTGGGCCTGGTGAGTTAGCTGCAGGTCAGTCCGTCCTTCTACACCCAGGTCCAGTGATCATTAAGTCTGACTGCAGCTCGTGGACTTGCTGACCCTGCCAGCCTGGCAACAAACCCACCTCCAGGTCTGGATGTATTTTTTTTGCCCGGGTTGCCGTTTACCAACACCGCCTGGCTTGACTTTGCCATGACTTTGACAGACTCAGCGGGCTGTTATTTATTTTTTTTTCAATCTTTCCCCTAACAGCTCTAAAATCATCGCTCTTCCTACTCATCATCCACAAAAAAAGGACAGTACATAGCACAGTACACGCCGAACTCTGGCTCCCTCTCGACGTCCTTCATTTCCTTGGATCGCGGAAACAGGGCTGTGGTGCGCCGTTAGATTTATACTTCTCTGTCCAGTGTTCAACCACGGATGACAACCCCTGTTCCTGAATGTCCAGTATTAGAAACATCGCAAAGCCGCTCTCTGGCATGTGCTAAAGCAGTTGACGTAGAGCCACTGCCACCGAGTTTCACACGGGAATTTGGATTTGGTCGACACTCGCTGTTAGAGAACAGCCACTGGGTCAGCAGCCAACCTGGCTTCTGTCAATGGACGGTACTGAGAGAGAGAATGTGTGTTTTATGGATTTGGCAAAGATGATAATTGAGGTGTGTGTGTGTGTGTGCGTGTGTGTGCTATGGGGCTGGTAAGCAGCCAGTCACATAGTCCTTGCTCTCCAGACCGAGTAGGGGCTTTGGTAGCTGAAAACACACACAAACATAAAGTCCCCGGTCTCCATCTATCTAGAGGTCAGAGCAAAAGGCTCAGCCATGAGGGTCTTTTGTTGAGCGCCACAAAAAGATGCAGAGTTCTCAGTTCTGCTCACTCCTTTTCCTCCACCGTACTCTTACCCCCCCCCCCATTTCCTCTTTCTCTACTGACCTTCAGAAGGATGGGACTGTGTGTGTAGACATAGTTAGCCGGCTGCCAGATGAAGTGTCTAATTATGAGCTCTGTTATTTTCTGTGCCGCACAGGATGTGATCGGGGGGTAAGGAAGGAACACACAGAGAGAGAGAGAGAGAGAGAGGGGAAGGGAGAGAATGGAGGAATAGAAAGAGAACAGTGGATGAGGGACAGAAAGTGAAGAAAGGAAAATCCAAACAAAGTGAGAGAAACAAAAGCGTGAGAGAGAAGTCATTAACGGTTTCATCATTCGGATGCAGAGGAGCTGAAACAACATTAGCATTTCGCACGATTATTAACTCCTATTTATCTCCATAAGACCTATTAACAGGTGATGGCTGTTTTCATCTCCAGAAATATAACATATTATTATTTTTACCTGTTATTCCCAGGTATACACTGCTGTGTTGGTATTTATAATTACTCTCCTATGGGACTTAGTCACTCACTTCAGTTCTATTGCAATGTGAAAATGAAGTAAATTTATCTAATACATCTGATAATTTTTAAATGAGTCAGAATGTGTACGTTCTTGGTTTTGGAAAATTCATTTCAGAACCGATTTCTGCTTTTTCAGTCTTCTTAACGCGTTACTTTCTGCTCCTAGTTGTGGCACTGTGAGTCCTGGCAGTGTGTCCACACACTGGGTGGCCACCAAGACTGTGTCCGAAGCTGCCGATTCTCCTGGGACAACCGACGCCTCGCAACAGGAGATGACAATGGAGAGATTCGGGTGCGTGTCTGTATCTGCAGAGAGACCCTGCCCTCTGTCTGTATATTCTGATTTTGCTGTGTTCAGGACATTTCTATAAACAAAATAAAAAAAGCCACGAGGTGCCAGATTATAAACTCGCATAGAAGAGGAAGCTACGAAAATGGCTTGTGGCTCATTAGGCTTGTAGTGCTGTTGCATTGTTGGAAATCGACCTCAGCTTCAGTGCCTGAATGCAAACAGCTGAAGTGGAGAAACTAAATGGGAAGCGGAACATTTTAAGAGTCATGAGGGAAATGAGGTAGTTAAGAGTAGAGGCATCGATGGAGGTAATCTGGAAGAAAGTACAGAGGCTGCAGATGAGAGGAGAGGACAGACTTCCCACTGCGCCTCCTGCCTCGAGATACTCGCATCAGTGTGTCCACACACCAAATGGCATGTTGCTGTGTTACTAGTATGAACCCATCTAATTTGCAATGCAACATACAAAAAACGCAATTACAGCAGTCATCATTTATTCCAGAGATCACCCCATAATTACATCTCATCACTCATTTAGATAAAGTGCTTACTAACACACCGTGATTGCTGCAGCGCACATGAGAAGGGGGGGGTGGGGGGATGAAAGGAAGGAGGCAGGGCTCCTTTCTCAGATGAGGGAGCAGGAGGTGCAGGTTGTGCGAGGAAGTTGGGATGATGAGAGCAGGAAGAGGAGGAGATGTCTGACAGTGGGAGGTGAAGGAGAGGACTCGGGCTGCCAAATTGGATCCCCAAGGCTTTTGAATCTGCAGCGCCTGTACACAAGCGCACACACACACACACACACACACACACACACACACACACACACACACACACACACACACACACACGCACACACAACGTAATTGAAAAGTTTGACTGAGTGAGAGGCAAAGAGGAAGATGTGGATTTGCCGCCGGTCAGCTGGCAGTCAACAAGGGGTTAATGCCCTCTGGTGGCCTCTGAGCTGAACTGCTCCATTAGTCAGAGACGGACGAATCCATCAGATCCAATTACATAAACCACACTGAAATCTCACCCCTGTTTCTATGGAAACCAATGTGAGTCACTCCGCACAAAAGCATGCCAAGTGTTAAATATAGCTGTACGTGTGATGTGTCATTGTCAAACGGACATGGCATGTGAACAGTTGCATAACAGCTGCAATCGACATGATGTGCTGCACAACCCTCGTTTCATTACGTTTGAGGTGCATTATGGGTAATTTCTCGTTACGATTCACACTGAATATCTGTGCAAATTCTCTTTGTTTTGGATTTTACATCTGATGCCAGAGAACATGCTTGAAAAGATTCGGCGGTTATGATCTCTCCTCTTATACGACCACCTGTTATCACATAATCAAAATTCCATACTTGTCATGTGATGATAACGACTAAACCATCCACAACAACTGGGCAACCTCCAGCCGCCGATGCAGGCCATCAAATGCCACCACGGCTCACATCAACACAAGCTAGCATGAATCCAAAAATATCTAATAATCACTTATAATGTAGAACGGGCCGTTTTCTTAATCCGTACATTGGGTCTTGAGCGTTTCATTTCTTATGTCGGGTATCTTTGTTGTTCATCAGTGACATTTACTTTATGATTTTGTGTATTATGTGCGGCTGTCCATCGCAGCTCTGGAGTGTCAAGGACGGCTCTTTGCTGAGGATTTGTTCCCGTGACGGTAAAGACGGCATGGACTCGCTCCACGGAGGCTGGGTGACCGACCTGCACTTCTCCCCAGACAACTCTCTTCTGGTGTCGACTGGCGGCTACATCAAGGTATGTTCACACAGACTATCGGACTCGTATGGATACTCAAAGTCACAGGGAAGAAGAAGATGTAGTTCGGTCGGTAGAAATGAGTCGTTTCTATATTGTACTATAATCACTATTTGATTTAATGCCTTCATTAAATAATCAACAGTGGAGCAGAAAATGAGGGACAAAAGGGAGGCGGGGAATAAAATGTAAAAAAGGCCTCCAGCCGGACTTCAAACAGGGATGTTTTAACAATGACCTCTTGGACTGTATTGTATCCACTGCATCAGCATGTAAGTAATATATTATGCAACAGACGAGCACTTGGCACCTAAATGCACTGTTCCTCTTCCTGCCCACGCTCAAACGCTTTTTGTTTTTCAACAATATACCATTGTGTATGTGAGATGTGTCTCAGTAAAAAACAATGCACAAATGCCACCAACATGCACCAGTGTTACAGTAACCAGAGGAGCATTGCAGTGGTGCAGGTTTACATAAAAACACTCAATACCCGAGGGAGGTGTGTGTGTGTGTGTGTGTGTGTGTGTGTGTGTGTGTGTGTGTGTGTTATTACCTTCACTTTTACAGGAGATGGGTTCACAGAGCGGACAGTCTCAGCTGTGCTCTGATTGGCTATTTGCCGGGCAATGATGTAATCCTCAAGGGAGAGCGGTTCTGATCGATGAGGCTTTATACCTCAGATTACTTCTGATTCTGTGTGTGGGGTGGTTTTGTGTGCGCGAACATGTGCATGCGCGCCTTTGTTTGTACCTGCTTGTGTGGGTCGACTGATATGTTACTGTTGAAGGCAGTAGTTGCAGCAAAAACACATCGTAATCTCGTCACAAAGCCTAAAAATTAGCTCGTACTTAATGAGAAACTCGTGTAATTCTTTCACTTAATACCGTTTCTTTTAATATATATTTTAAGGTGTTCCAATTTTCTGAAAACCCATTATTTTTCTCTGAAGGTACACACAGCACATGCAGTTTAAAGGGCAGAGAATAAAGTCCTCAGGAGGCTATTAAAAAGAAAGATGAGGCGCTAGAAAGGACACCAGACACCGTAGCGTGACATCACATGTGAGAAAAGAGACTTAAAGGTTTGAATTTACTGCCTTTATAGCAGGAAAGAGCACAAGGTCGCACTTGAATCGATGTGCAGCACACAAGAAACGGAGGATGTAGATAAATAGAGGCCACTTTTGGCTGAGTTCCAGACTGTCCACTAATATGGCTGTCCAAAAATGTTATGATAATTTATGTCCATCGCTGTGTATATGCATTATATCTTGATATAGATTACATCAATATGTCTGCTGAGTTCAAATAGTCCCTGTAGCTTAAAGCATTACTTCTATATTTTGGGAAATATGCTTTTTTTGCTTTCTTGCTGAGAGTAAGATGGGAAAATGTGAGATCACTCCATTACATCTGTGCGCTAAATATGAAGCTCAAGCCAGCAGGCGATTAGCTTAACTTAGCTTAGCGCTAAGACTGGAAGCAGGGGGGAACAGCTTGTCTGTGTCTGTCCAGCGTTTTTATATTAGATATATATTTAAGTAAGTAAAATAATGATAACGTAAGAAGCCTGTTTTACCTGGAAACCAAACAGTCTGGTCCACTGATATACCCTTTGATTTGTTTATATCTTAGTAAACTTAACATTTATTTCATATATTCAAATGAACAGACGGGGCTGCCGTGTTTGATGCACTAATACAGTGTTCATCCTCTTCTTTTTTTTTTTTTTTTTTTTTTCTGTTACATCACTATGACAGTCATCATTATTCTGGGATTTGGCTAACGAATCACTCCATTACTCTATTTCCTGCTCTCTCTCGCTCTCTCTCTCTCTCTGTTGTGTTGACTTGATGGATCAGCGTCGCGAGCTTTGATTGATTAATCGCACTGCGTGTCGGCCGGACAGCTATGAGAGGCCATCCAGTCTGTCATAGTAATTACCCTGACAGAGTGTGTACCTCTTATGACAGATGATATAGACCGCAGAGTGAGGAAGCATGATAATAATCTGTGTTAATGATTACTGCCAAGGCGTATATCTCCGTGCTCGCCTGTTTTAAATCATAGCGTTTAAACAGACTTGTGAGTATGTTGATATAAAAAAAAAAATCCTCTTTCATCCCATCGCTGGTCCATGTTTCTGAGTTCTAGATATGACAATGAAAAGGGAAGGGTGTACCTACATGAATATGAAGCAAGAACACCAGTGTGCTCGGATAAAATATTTACCGACGTCTAAATAAATCACGGGATGTTGTAATTATTTTTCTGTCGGTCTTGGCAATCGTCTGAATGTCGTCATGAGGGTATTTGGTTTGTATTCATCCTCAGCTGGTGTAAGGCAGAGATTTAATTATGGAGGATCAGTGGGATTGTATTAAATGTGCATTTGGATCATAGATGCAGACTGATTGATATTAAAGTTTGTCTTGGATCCTATAAAAGCTCTGAACAATGGCTTTGCTTCATGGCAACAACTTTTTCTGTTCTACTTAGGAAGTAGAAGTTTGAAATCAATTTTCACCACATAATAATATAATAATAAGCCATGTTGAAAATAAACATAAAGCATCTTTATTATATTAACAAAGTTAGTTGAACAATATTGAAATCACCATGAAAATGACTTATCTATTTGTTTTCCTTCAGTGTTAAGGAACAGCACCAAACTGCTAAAAGCTGCAGTAATCCATATGTTTAGATTAACAGTGGTTAAAAGACTTTTATTGTGAAAATATTTCTTGTAGTGCGGAACCCACAGAGAATGATTATCCCACTCTGCAGGTCCCCTCAGCTCAACGGAGCGTTTTAGCGTCTTTCAGCTCATTTGTTGCTTTTACGGCCTTATCTTTGTCCTCGTTCCGCTCTCGTCAGCATCAGTTTCTGATTTTCAGTGGAGGAAGTTCTAAAACCCAACTGTACGCTACCAGCCCAGCACCAGCAGCAATCATGGACACAGTTGGCAACTATACTGGTAAAGATTGCTGAGCATTTAGCAGCTAAAGAATCAGACGGAGTCAGTGGATTCAACTCTTGTTGGATGATCGAATGTCATGGACCATTTTTAATGCGACTATATTCCTGAAGAGAACTCTTGTAAATGTGTACGAAATGAGCAGAACATGACAGAGAAGGCATGTTTTTTTGTTTTTTTGTTTGTTTGTTATCGTGACGTGATTCAGTGGAGAGTTTTCAGCTCGCAGCTCTAAACATCAGAAGCTCTTCTACACAATGAGTCAGTGTGTTGCGGCTGCTGAACAGAACGGTGTTGTTATTGGTCTCAAAAGAGCAGGAGAAGTGACGGCGGGTGATGTCTCCCATGGTTCTCTCAGTTGATGGGTTGATATGATGCAACGTGAGGCTCCATGCGTAGACGTGATGTGTGTTTTGTTTTTGTTTGTCCCTGTGGTTTTTGTTACTCGTCTCTGTCAGTACTACTGCCTTAATCATCTCTCAAGCTCCTTTTTTTTTTTTTTTTTTTTTTAATCGCTTCGTGTCTGCCTCTCTTGTTGTCTCTGTTTCATCACTGCCTCCCTCTGTATGGTCGGGTGAATGGTGCGAGTGTAATTAAAAGCAGCGGGCTATACGTGCTTGTCCAATCCCCTGTTGGGTGGAGGTACCTGTGTAGAGTGTTTAATTAAACATTACTTACGCCTTTTATCACCGATTCTTCACTTCACATGATACAAACCATGACATATGGGCTTGTGGTGGTGCATTTGGTTGTCAAATTATAAGCTTACATGCCTGCGAGCGGATAAGTGTGTGTGTGTAAGTTTCTGTGTGTGTCAGGGTGTGATGAAGTGATGCCATCCAGCCCTCTGAGAGAGGCTGTTACATCGCACACTGACTCCCATCAGTCCTCCTCCCTTCTGCTCCGGGTCGTGCCAGGAAAGGCTGTACCTGTCTCACACCTGGCCTCGACGCAAACACACTCTCCGAAAAGGCTACGAGACGAGCTGTCACAGTGCCATGATCCGAGAGGGAGGCGGCTGGTGTGAAAAGGCTCACCCTGACCGCACACACACACACACACACACTCAGGCCCAGCAGCCCAGAGTAATTCACACCAAGTCGTCATGTTGCAAACAAACCGGCAATATGCTGTAGATGTTGACACGGAGCTTTCAAACTGCCTATTTTTACATTAGGAACAGTTTCTCAGGGGCAAAAAAGTGTTTTTACTGAGTGAACAGAGACATAAAAGTCCTCCTGTTTCAGTTTGAATGGAGTGAATGATGCAACCATCATACCCTGAATGATTTTTTATTTTTTTTTTTTAGAGGTCTAAAATCTAGGAGAGGAATCCTTGTTAGTGCATATGAATCCCTGTATGCTGTTCATACGGCACGTTACCTCTGATAACGCCGTCTCCACCCAAGGCGTTGTTGCAGAAGCATAATCCATTCGGTTTGTTAATAATCTGTTGATATTACAGCAACTTCTCTCCTTGGCTGTTGGAAAACTTGCAATCTCAAGTCATCAAAGTATTTTGTCACTTCAATATCAAAATGACACCTTCTTCAGTGATGACAGGTTTCTAGCAAAGACGTGAGATTGAGAGGAAGCCTTATTTTAGTCAGCCACAACTTAAAAATGTGTGATACCACTGACTGTACCTGGCCTCCCAAGGGTTGTTGCTTTGGAAATATAATTATATTATTTTCACTTCAGTACTGTTGGCAGCAATGTGCATCAAGACAGCAGCATACTTGGTGTGCTAGTAGAGCACAAGATATGAAAAAAGAGGGACATTGCTCATCAAAACATTGCTCCACGGAGCCACTAATGGTCAAAAACACATATAACTAAAAGACCAAAAGGGAAACCATGTTGAAACCTGAGCTATAGATTCATCAATGGCGTCCAACCCAGTGAAGAACATGTCAACTCTTAACTGGAACAGGACGGAAGCAACTCACTGTTTTCACACACACACACACACACACACACACACACACACACACACACACTTCCAAACAGTGTATCCCCAGATGGATGGGAGTGTTGTAGATGACAGTTCTCCCCTGCCACCAGTGTTGTCAGACATCACTTATCAGCCAAGCCTGTGATGGAGGAGCAAGGGAGGAACACAATTTCACCTTATCTCACCTTCTTACGCTTCCCTTCCTTTCATTCTCTATTTTTCCGTCTCCGGGTTCCCACCAGACCTGCTCTTTCTGTGTTCTCCTCTAATGTTCTCTCTCTGTTTCACACCTGTACCTTCTTTCTGCTGTCGTTTTCTTTGTCTGTCCACCTTTGTGACCATTAGGATTACAGCCGCCCTCCCCAACGCTCCCAAGCTATTTAAATAATCACACATCTGCATGTGATGCTTTTTAAAATAATGATGCTTACGTTGCACACTGGGTCAGTTTAAAGCCATTTCAGACCACTGGAGATTTCTTTCACCCGTCAGGTCTCAGTCTGTCGCTCCCCTGCTTTCTCTGCCATCATCGTTAAGCACATCCTAACGAGGCCTCGCGGCTAATGAACCGTAACAGCCGGTCGGCACTCTAAGCAAGTCTCGAAGTGAAGCGGGGACGGAGGACGGGGAGATGTGATGAAATGAAGGAGCGAAGGTTGCGTTGACCTTCCCTCAAGAGATATTTGATGGACGGAGGATCTGTCAAAGATTAAGACACAGTTGCGTGGCAGCAGGCGGTGCAGGGCTGCGCAAAAAAGGACAGCCATCAGCCTCTCTGAGGGATGGATGTGGTATCGAGCAGTCAAAACTCTGATATAATGAGATTGACTAAGCTATTAGTGAATGTGCCTCCATTCTCCTCCCTTACTGGCAAAGACCTCAGTGCTATCTCTCGAGGCTACACATCAGTAAAGTGTTCATTCGTCTTTTTTAGGCTAGTTATGTTGCCATCCGCTGTCTCAGACTTGTTCCAGAAGTCAGAAATACAACCTTAAGATCTTTTTTTTCTTACAGTAAAACGCCTGTTTACACAAGAACATATTTAAGTGGCAAAATGCAACAACACATATGTGCATTTTTATGAAGTAGTAATTCATTAGTTTAAAGTCCATCCCCTCATAGAGAAATGCTACTTTTAGACTCTCGATTTATCCCGTCAACATTTCACTTCTAACTATATGTCCACAGGCCTATACTTCAACAACACACACTCATTCAGGCCCAAGTGGTTTAAGGTAAATCATGGCAGGCTTTTAAAGTCAGATATATTGTAAAACTGCCACATTTTCCGACTGAATTGGACTCGCAGACTACAGTTCAGCTTTCATTGCTGTGTCACAGTTTTACAATATGGCTGACTTTGAGTGCCATATATATAAATATTTTATCTCCTCGGGTTAGTGTTCTGTACAGGACAGACCTGCAGGAGAGTTTTGACACATGTCTGGTGCTGTAGCAAGGAAAGATGTACTGCAGTGTCGAGTTTATTTTTTGTTTCACGTAAAGGTGCTAAATGCAAAATGTAGTCCATATCTATTTCCTCTCAACATGGAGACGGCTAAGCCGACGGCTAGCAGCTAACAGTGCTAACCGGAGGGGGAACCGGAGGGTACGCTTCCGCGACGATGCCATTGGTTGTGATGGCGTTATCTAGCTAACATGCACGCGCTGCCGGACCGGCTGTGTAAACAAAGCACAGAGAACTTCACATTACAACACACAAACGTGGCGAGCAACTTCATTCTCGGCTCAGGGGGCCTTTACTCCACTACATTTTTACAGAGCAAATAGTTGTTTGCTGCTCTGATAATGCTCCGAATAGAAAACCTTTAAAGACATGAACACAGGACGCTTTAAAAATAGTCTATTGATATACTTTATTAATAGCTGCGTCAGTTCTTGTTTCAACCAGGGAGTGGGCTGACTTTTTAGTTTTCTCTTTTTGTTGCTCTTTTAATGTTTAAGCTCTGCTTTGAAGAAAACTTCCTGGACACATTACCTGCAACAGCAATGACTGAGTTCCCTCACAGGGTTCATTAACCTTTCATCTGATCCCGCAGCTGCTTTTGTATTTGCGTAGCAACATAAAGACAACACCTCTTGGGTGTTATTGCTTCTGTATGTTGGTTTACAGGCTAGTTGCACCACTTGGCTTTTAATTTGATATTTGCACCCCCACCTCCTTCAGAATGGGTCCGTAGATGGAAATAACACAATTTGATGACTGCTGTTTCTGATGGGACGTGTATGCAAATGTTACAGGCCACCGTGTTGGTTCAGGCCGCGTTCGCACTTTTCATTTCATTCAATGCCTTTCTCCCGTCACGCTGTTTCAGAAGTAAGCACCCCGCAGTGCTGCTCCAGCGTAGCAGCAAGACCTGCCTCTAAAAATACCTGCATGCACTCATCAGATGCAAAGCAGCTTGTGAAAAGTGCATTTATCTTTTCCCTCAGAATCTTTTGGTCTATTTTTCCCCATCCTTTTCTCTTTTTCTTATTCCAGAGACGCATTTAAACACGCACACGTTCTTCCTCATGCGGTCAAAATGCATCCAGATTAGATGTGTTTTTCCATTAGGTCCTCGACTTCACACACGAGAGACAAAGCAAGAGTGAAGAACTTTGAAAGCGTTGAGCTTGGAATGAATGTGCCCTGGTTTCCGTGCTGCTGTTGTCAGGCTTGGGGTATAAACACAGGCTGGTGAAATATTTATCTGTCTCTAGGAGGTAGTCGTTTCCTCTGCGTTGCTCATTAAGCGAGGGTTAATTGTCTCTCTGGCTGCAGAAGAAGGGCCTTTGTGTGCGCAAATCACACAGAGATGAAATGAGGCACAGTGGAGATGGGAGATCAGTGATGGAGGATGAGGTGGAGGGGGCTGCTGGTGGTGTGTGCTTTGTAAAATGCGTGGATGCACACACACTCATATTATACACACTATACCCTCCATCCTTCCAAACCAGCTGGTCAACTGTCTTTGTTGTTGTTGCCTTTGCGTGACATGCCGCTGTTAACTACCGCTACCATAAAAGTGTCGGTATGGAGAGATCTGATCCACAAACAAATGTTGTATAAAAAGGAAAAGTTTTAAATTTTTCTTTGCCAAGAAATACTCATGACCCCCCAGCAAGAGAGCGAATTGTCATTTTTACACTTTGGTTTTTGATTAAAAGGAAGAGCTAATGTGTTAATTAGTGAGCCTTACAGGTGTCGGCAGATTTACTTGCCTTTTGACAGAGCCAGGCTAGCAGTTACCCCCTGTTTCCAGTCTTTAAGCTAAGCTAAGCGCCTGCTGGCTCCAGCTTCATATTTACGGCACACTCGTCTTTTGATGTGTCTTGTTTTCTCTCTCTCTGTTTTCTTTTTATGTATCCGTCTCTTCCTCTGTGTGTGAGAGAAAGAACAATAAACAGAAGGAGTAACAACCTCTCTAATCCAAGGATGTAAGATCTCTCTTCACTTTTAGTTTCCCTGCTCCCTACAATCCATATTCATTTCCCCCTTTTTTTTTTAAAAATCTGTGATGAAAAAGTGTTGCCCATGGGAATAAAGCAATGCAAGTGGCAGAAAATGTAAGGCCGCGTGTGAGAGAAAGATGCGTGGAGGATCGTCTGAGCATCAATATTTCAGTGGATAGAACCTTGGATGAATAATTCAACCTCAGTGTCACACTGTTTCCCTCTCTGCAAGACTCTTGGCCTGGTCACACACACACACACACACACACACACACACTAATTCCCCCCACTTTTTCTTTCTGAAATGGAGGTGGCATTACAAAATCGCCTGAATCTACTCCAGCTGGTTCCCCCTCTTTCTTTAATCTCCTGCCTCCCTCCATTGTGTGCCTCCTGCTGGCTGTAGAGTCGTAACGATTTTCTATAAAGTGTAAAAACTGCAGCTATTCCCCCTGGACTCTCTTTCAAGCTATTTATGTAAGAGGAAGATGAATTACTTCCCTCCACCCGTCCTGAAAGACGCAACCGTGCGCCCGCTCACACCTAGAGCACATCTCTCCGGCCCTCACAAGAACACACATGGACGGGTATTTCCGTTATGTAAGCGGGGCTGACTTTCCCTCAAGTAGCCCGAATAAGCAGACCTATTTAGCTTCAGGAGAACCAACGGCGGGCACCTGTCGGAGCAGATTTAGTGCTCCTCCGCTGTTAGCTGAAATGAATCGGGGTCACTCGCATTCCCGGCTTCCCCAGATGTCATTTTGACGTGTGTGTGTGTGTGTGTGTGTGTGTGTGTGTGTGTGTGTGTGTGTGTGTGTGTGTGTGTGTGTGTGTGTGTGTGTGTGTGTGTGTGTGTGTGTGTGTGTGTGTGTGTGATTGGGTGTGTGTGTGTGTGTGTGTGTGTGTGTGTGTGTGTGTGTGTGTGTGTGTGTGTGTGTGAGCGTGACACTGAGAGGGAGCTTATCTGAACATGCAGAAGGGCTTTATAGATAAGAGTTCAGTGACCAGTGGGTTCAGTCATCGCGTTTCCACCAAAGCGGATGACATATGTGTATGTTAACATCAATGTTCTTTAAAATACAATCCTTTTCTAACTTATTCAGTCCTCGCATGGCTTTGTGATGTGGTTGAAATTGTTGAAATCATATATATTTATTTTTTTTTTTTTCAATGTGCACTCAGTTTCCTTTTTATAAGGCACACTGAGTTGAAATCAGTGCAGCTTATTACAGCAATAAATCCTACCTTCATGAAGGTTATAACGCTGAGGGGAGGTGCTGATGATTATGTTGGATGTGGCCGGTTGTGGTGCTGTTGAATTGCATGGGGACACTAAATATTAGAAACACCTGTAACACAATTCAACAGCACCACAAACCTCCAAACTATCCTTCCCGTCTGACCAATAGATGCCTTGTTACATGAAACAGCTCTGTTGTGTTACTATTTTACTGTTTTCTTTTCCCTTTTTTATCTTGTTTTTGTCTGCTGGCGTTTTATATTTAAGGATCCCTTGATGATTGTTTTTTTAATGTAC